GGTTTTATGCCCAGCCTTGCAAGGGATAGGATTTGGGGTAAGTTGGAGGAAACGTTTGTAGCCGGATATGTGACGTGATGTTCTGTGGATACTAAGTTGAATTGATTACGCCGTTTATGAGTGACGTCAAACCATGGAATATTGAATGTTCTTTCGAGATTCTGATTAAGAATCATTGTATTAATGTAGTACGTTTCGATTTTCCTATTTGTTAGCTAAATCGCGGCCCATTTGCATGCCTGCTTCGGCAACCTGTTGTTGGACATTTGCTGACCTTTCCATCCACTCAGCTTACGTTCTGAAATAAAAAATTCCGACATCGATATAAAGCTCTCCTCTTACATTAATATTCTTACCTCTTTCTATTCTTGCAACGTCTACGGTAGAAATCTACATTTTTACCTTGATTGCATCTTCTCATCTATTCTTTACTCTCTTAATCCAGATAGTCTCATTGCTGCTAATGGATAAAATAACGTTTGGAACTCGATTGCAAGAAAATTTTACTTTTCCGTAAAAATTACCCCTAGAATTTTATCATCCCTTTAGTAGCTTAACTTTCTCTAACTTGTGACTATCATCATATTTTCCTTCACTTCTGCAAGTATTAAATCAAATCTGTAGCCGGTACAAAAATCCCTGGAGCGATTATTTATTGTTATTAAATGTTGCCAATAACGCTCATTTCTACACTTATAGACAATTCAATACAACAGTGAAGAATAGTAAAAGAGAAGAGGAAGGGAATTCGAGCTCAAGAAAACGTACGCAGATTATCCATCTCCCTCATTCGCCACATAAAGTTTTTTCTGTTTTGACGTTAAATGTAGTATCTCTGAATCACTCTTTACCCTCTTGTGTCATAATTTACACTTATTAAATCATGTAAGAGTAATCGCTTATTAGAAGTTACATCCTTTCCTGAAGAACCACGCGGTAACCTCATGATAGTTGCAGTGATCTCTTTCACATCGTAGAGATACCATTACTCCCACTAGCTCCTCATTTCCATCAGCATATAAGAAATCCAGTCGCAAACACGAACTCGAGTTCACATCAACCGGTTTGCGCCGGTTGTGATCCGGATTGTTCCCTCTAAGGAAAAAAAAGAAGAGTCCCGGTGTTTACAGAGACTGTTTCACGGTCGCATACTGAATGTGCAACTCTATAGACCCGCTGCATGCCAGCGAGTCTGCTGTAACCCGCTAAGCGATTCGCGTGATGTTATTTCCAGAGAACGTGCTACGTCAGAGATACCCTGACAGCGACCGTGTGATAGCATGTCACCAAGAGCCCCCTAAGCCAGCTGCTACTTTCGGGGATGAACGGATGTGGATTTTTGGCACTAGCTACGTGTAACTGGATTAAATTTGGTGTTTGGAGGAGAATTCTAGTTGCCGGCTGCTCTGGTCCTCCAACTCTGAGCGGGAGAGATTTTCCCTAACACACCTTCGCCCATCAGTGCGCACCCTGCATATCCTTGCTGTCCAAGCAGTGCATCTGACCGGGTGGTTCTATGGTTCGAGCCCCGACGGTGGCAGGATTTTCGACGCTAGCCACATAGCTATGTCGAATTCAGTTGCAGTCTGGAGGAGAAATCTAGTTTGGCAAGTTTTACGTGGTTTCTCCGATTAACACCATACGAAGGTCGGAGCAGTGTTCTAACAAACGAGACATGAACCGCGCGCGATCTTTCCTTCCTCTTCCTTGTATTCTTTCTGCTTACACTCACACGCGCTTACACTTACATGCACTACACTAGCACAAATTCAAGAAAATCAGTTGAGAGTTTAGAGCTAGCCGCGGCTGGGACGGTGTCCCGCTGTGAGAGATACCTAGAGAGGAAAATCCCCAAGCAGACGTGTAGGTGGCACCGGATCTTACGAAACAGTGGAGGTAGTGGAAAACAGTCACTCTTCGGAATATGACATTCACTGCACTTCCGGGACTAATGACCGTGTTAATTGACATACCCGGAAATGTCAAACAATCAATCAACCGGATGTGAACCAAAGATTCCGAGATCGCGTTTCACAGTTAGGAGATGGTGCAGGATACCAATGCAATATATATCAATGAGAATTTTTTTGAGGGTATTTCGTATTCTAGAACACTACGCTGTTGATAAGTTGTTTAGGTATGCAATAGATTTTCATTTAAGTTCTTATGAATTTCTGTTTTGACAACATTGTATCGTCACTTCTTTTTCTTCTTCTTTATCATCCTCCTCTTCCTCTACCAGCAGAGCATTTTCCAGCAGGCCAGGGGCATCGACGCCTGGCTCTGTAGCCAGGTTTGCCCAGCAGACTTCGAAATCGTGCTTGAGATTCGAGATAGATATAATAGAATAGATTATTTATTTTGCTACTTAGGAATACATGGAATTTTTCCGGTGGTAGAATTTTCTAAGTAGTTACTACAAATACACTACATAGACAATCAAAGGAACATTACAACATTTACTTATTACTTAATACAATTTCACAAGATTAGTATATTAAACCTATCATGCTATACCTGACATGAAATAACAATCATAATTTTTTGAAAACAAAAATGTTAATTTATACTAAATGATAAGTTCGTGTTTTCATATAACCAAGGCTGATGAGTGTTAGCGTACCGAGGTCTCATTTTACAGACTTTGACTTTCTTTTCCTTCGGCATAATGAAAGTCAACTGATGTACTCAGATGTATGGAATCAAAACTCTTTGTTAAGAAGTAATGGGTTGTTTTCCCGCTGCTCAATTTTGATCTTTGAAGTCTTTTACTAGCGTGTTATTTGTAAGAAAAAATTCTTATTAATAAGTACGTTGTATTGTAAATGACAAGATCGTTCAGGCTAGCCTACTCGTGTTTCTTTTCACCAAAGTTCATGATAATTTCAGGTGTTTGCTCACCAGATATCGTCCGATCTCGCGAGTAGTAAATTTGACAAACATCCGGATTCATGTTGATATAAAATTCGTATCATAAGCATTTTGTTTTTAGTTTTCGCAACTTTATCGCAAGTTTGCTTATCATGTTATTCGGCCCGACAATGCTTCCCTAATCAAAATGAATTAAGAATATAACTCCACTTTGACTCCCGTGTTTCTATGCCATACGTTACATTTTAATGTGTGTGTTTTTGTGGCTTAGGTGGAGTAAGGTAAATGTATAAAATAATCTTATCACTTTATCAAAACAGTGGCGTGACAAAGAACTTCTCGCACGAAAGGCAATCACCATCCTAAACAAGTTTAGATTTCAAACTTACTTTTGAGTTAAAATTCAATCATCAAGTGCAATGTAATGCTCTAATACACATATCAGTACCTGCGATGGTTAACGCAATATCTGATGCAATTCTCTTTCTTTCTTTCTTTCTTTCTTTTTTTATCTTTTTCTCTTTTCCCCTTTTTTCTCTTTTTTTCTCTTTCTCTTTTTTCTTTCTCCGACGGATCAACGGGGATTTCGTCTGTAAGCAGATATGTTTTTTTAAAGAAAATGCGTAATGCACAAACAAGTAAGAGCTTAGAGAAATCTTTTAATGACTCACTGACAGACTTATTCCTTCCTTTTCCTTGCATTTTGAGTGGCCAAAATTAATGACACACATGACCAACTTCACTTTCTCATATTATTTCAGATGGTGACCCAGTTTCCTGATATGCTTCGACCACATTTTCGAATTTTGAATACCAAACAACATATTACAAACATTGTATATACACATAGAATTGCCAATTGATTTTCACCTTTATATTTAAATTGACGGAAACCTCACAAAGAGGCCGAAGGAATTTAATATTCGCTATTGCTTTCCCTTTTAAGGTATTGGAATAGATTTTGCGGAATGGAACTTACGAATCTATCAAATTCGTATATTGAATATTATTTATTTATTATCCTCGTTTTATTCTAATTTTTCAAGTGTAGTGCAAATTCATTGGCTAGTAGATTTAACTTACAATTACATTAATAGCCTTTCTTAAGTTGTTAAAAATAGGAAACGTAATCCAATTAAATTCCATTGAATATCGGCAGTTTCTTCTCAACTGTTTCCTTTTTGTGTGTTTCTATTGTATGAATAAACGCTTAAATGTATTATTATGCTTACCATGACTTAAAACAAGTTTTAAGGGTTCCTGTTAATTCTTAACTTTTAAAATTTGATTTTGGACTTAGATTTAGGACTTTCATTTCTCGTAATAATAGTTAGGATTTGTAGGTCTGTGAAATATTTGGGTTACTGCTACTACACTAATGTTGAAGTAAATGTGTTACATCGAAAACTAATAAAAGACACATTTGACCATTTTGAATCATTCACAACTTAATATGACTTAACAATAACATCACAATTTTTTCCTTTAGACGTACTTTCCGGACTTCCCTTACAAACTTGCGTTTCGCAAGCTTTCTCGTACTGCGGGTCTCATACTAAAATGATAGTGAAAATAGCCTCAGACGGGATTCCTACTCTTGCAAGATCAAAATTGAAGACGATTCAAGAATAGAAAAAATTGATCATATTATCTGTTCTGTTACTCTTTCTACTCTCTTCATGAATCTGAGGCAGAGCTACGATATATAAAGAGAGACGAGCAATAACACACTCTTGACTCAAAACCTTCAAAACCTAACATGTTTTGTACAAAGATTTGACACAGGGCACTCAAAAATAATCCTACGACTCCAGTTTCTTTTCATAATGTGTACGAAAAACAACGGCGATATCATGAAATGAAGTTGTACATATAACGTAGGATCTCTGATATTGAAAATCTGATGGAATGAGAACAATAATGTAATGCGTAGTGTTGTAGTTTCCTGTACAGGCGGACCATTTTGTCTTAATTTGTGTATTAATATCCTGAGTAATTTAACAAGCCATTTGCATTTCTTCTCCAAAATGCTGTAATCCGGATTCTAATCTTTCCGAACAACCTTTATGCAGCTCTAGTATATCAGATTACAAAGGCTAACGTATCAACGAGCTGACTAGAAAGCTGCGATGTGGCAGCCGGGTTACGGAGCTCAACCTGTTCGAAGCTCGTTATGCGGCCTATCAACTGGTTCATGCTGGTTCTTTTAACTGCGAGTGGCCGGCAGTCCGTGATTACGGGTGCTGAAATGCGCCGCCAGTGCATCATTATAGGAGGGAGAGAGGGCCCCGCCCGGCTGCATCCAGGCCGGCGGCCTTCCTGCCTCCGCCGCACAACTCTGCCTCTCTGTTCCTTTTCGATTTCCCCCTCTCCAGCTACCCTGGTGAGGCGGAAATTTATAAGTTGGGGTGGCCTTTGCTGCGGAGAACGGGCCTAACTAAAACGAATTAAATTAAACTTACAACTATTACAGATTACCTCTTAGAGCCTTTTTTAATTTAACATTAGGTAATATTAGAGTTCATAAGTTCTTTGCCTTCTATTTTCTTCTGCTTTCATGTTTATAACATTCACATTCTCATTCATTATATAATATCTATGTCTCCTCACCCACGCATATATCAATGCACTACACTATTTACACTGAGCACTGTTTTTTTTATCGCCACGGCGCGGCGCCGACTTCACTCAGGTGTCCATGGCACCGCGACGACTTCCGATTCTGGCGGCCCCGGCCCGGCGAAAATCGTTTTTCTCTTCTCTTCGAATGATTGTCTTTACATTATTCAAATTATGTACTTGGGTATCCTTTCAGTACCTATAGACGATCAAAATTAAAACAATATCTGTATTTTAATTAATGTCGTACAAGTAGTAATTTGAAAGAAAATCCTTTTAGTGTTTGTTTTGTTTTACTTTGGATATTCATAATTTATATGATTCTTTGAGTGTTGACAATAATATGTTCGATTGTTTTCGTAGTTGAACCATAATATTTGAATGTACAACCTGAAGCTGTGAAAGGTTCATTTCACGAAACGTTGTTTCAACAAGTATTAATTTGTCAATTCAACTTAATGATTTAAGACTTTTTCAATATACTTCGAATTGTTTTAATTTTGATGGTATATGAATAAAGGAAGGATACCCCAATATACAACTGTGCCACTTGTTTGTACACCGGCCCCGCCCCTTCCCGTATGTTTTGCGTTTTTCATAATTTCTTTCAATATACGATTGTCTGACCCGTTCGCCCTAATTGTGTGGCGTTGCGTTCCGCTCCTTCGGCCCGCTCTTCCCCATCCCTTACCGTTTCGTCCCATCATCTCCCGCCCCGCCCGAACCGTCTTGTCCCATCTCGTCCCGTCCCATTCCGCCTCGCCTCGTCGTGTCTTGTCCCATCTCGTCCCGCCCCTTTCCACTCCAGTTCCTCTCATCTCATTCCATTACAAACATTTTTACATCACTCGGGAGCGAACATTTCTTTTTTCAAATGTTACTAACCGTGCTTTGTTGGTACTTTTATTCACCTTTCAGTTATTTAGGATTAAAAGGTGGGGAAGGGATTCCAGAAAACGTGCTCGGATTGTTACTTCTCCCCCATACGTCACCTACAGTTTTACTGTTCATTGACAAAATAAATCAAATGAAATTCAGTCCCGTTCTTATCTCATCCGGTTCAGTCTCCTCCCCTCCTGCGGACCCCCCGCCCCCACCCCCGTCCGGAAGTCCCGTTCAGCTTCGCCATTTCGCCGCTCCACGCCATCGCACCCTCTCGTCGTGCCCTCCTCGTGTCCGCTCACCCGCCGTTTCTCACCTTTGTCTGCGTGCCCCCCCTCCCCCAGCCCCTTCCCGACTCATCTGGTATGCTCCGTCACTTATTATCTCACACTATCCCATCCCTTTCGCCCACCCCCCTCCTCACCCCGCCTCCCCGTGCGCCGCCGCTCGCTCGTCAGCTGCGGACGCCCCGGCCCCTGCTCCCCCCGCAGCGCCGCCGCCGCCGCCTCCGCTCGCCGCCGCTGCGTTAACTCGGCCAGACAGCAGCCCCCGCGCCGCCCCCGTTGCTAGGCGCCCTCGCGACGTCACCGCCGCCGCCGCCGCGCCGCCGCCGGGCCGCCTCCGCACCGCGCAGAAATAGAGATTCCCAACCGCTCGGGATTTCGCGAACGCGCCCAAGCACAGGCGTGCTCAGTCTGGAACAAGAGGGGCCGACTGTTTCTGGACCCCTCTGGGCCCCTTTTCCATTAAACATATTTTTATTTACGTACCACGTTTTAAATTTGTTCAATGGATTGGTTGTCACGACCAGGATTGGATTCCCCGACCACATTTTACTAGAAAATCAATAAAATGTCCTGCAAGAAAATTGAAAGTAAAAATTTATGAGATATTATGATGAACCATTTACATGGATGCCAAATGATTTAAACAGCCCTTTGCCCAATTTATTTGTAGCAATTCTGCGAATTACCTGCTTAAAGAAACAAGAAAAAATTGAGTATATTTGCCAAAATAAAATGTTTTATTACGTAAGGCTCAGGGTATCTTTTAGAATTTTTTAGGGGGTCCACGAGCCCCCTAACCTCGCTTGACATAAGCCTACGACTACGGCGTGCATGGTCTCATTTTTAGTTTCCCTATCAGAGAATTTTTTCGACATAATTTCCTCTTCAGCTTGCCCTACAGCCCGTCTGGTTGGCGGAAGGATACAGTGTTGTAGAACGATATGATCTTCGGCGATGCTTCACGGTTTTAGTATATATCATTAAAACAGAAGGGGCTGCTCAGTCTGTGACGCTCTGCGGCCAGTTGTAATTTTTTGGTACCTGAGGATCTCTCGGTACGTGCCATCTGGTAGATTTCCAGGTGTCACTCCCAGATTGATGTCAGTCACATCCTCTCCCTCTGTTGCCTCTCAGCTACACAAATGCGTTGAGAAACATTACGAAAACATGCGAAAACAATGTTTTAAATAATCGATTTGAAGGATGTTGGCTGAGTTTCGATGACCAAATATCTGCATGTCGACGAAAAGATGATTACCAACACAGTTATTTGATTACAAATTCGCTTATTCGAATTGTAGTTTCAACGTATAGAATCAAACAAAACAAACACAACAAACATCGAATAAGAAACGCGCAGAGAAAATGTTGATAAGATGTTTCGAGATGTAATGTTACACAGCTTGCATATATTGAAAGTTGGCTCATTAGCTTTTAATTTATAGTTATTTACTGTGCAGAACTGAAGGCTCGTTAACCGAGATATTCGAGTTCTCGTTATTGTGTAATTTTGACACCAGGTAATCAGCTGGGCCGCGGCCGATCGCTGCCACTATAAGATTTTCAGAGGCCGGATGCTTTGATTGCTCGTTTCCATGGTTCACACGTAAGCTTCCGCGGCTCGAATCCATAAATTCCTGGCTATTCGGGAGACGCCGCGTTGTTGGCTGGATGGCCGACGTTTCGCCTGACATGTCGCAGGCTTCTGCCCTGCCCTGAGGATGCCTGCGACATGTCAGGCGAAACGTCGACCTCTCAGCCAACGACGCGGCGTCTCTCAGATGGCCGAGAATTTACGTTTCCATCGTTGTCTCCGTTGTACTTTTAGGCGAATACCGGAACGGTTCCTGCAACGAATGGTACCTCACGTCTCAACTGGGTTGGAACACTGCCACCTTCCGCGATATTATGTACTCGACCCTTACGTAACCCACGAGTTGAGGAGTTGACGCTCCCGGAGACTCACTTCCAATCGCTCTATATCGTCATCCCTTCTCTCTCTCTCCCTCTCTCTCTCTCCATACACACACACACACACACACTTATGTGCACAACACTTGAGCTTATTAACACAAAGCTTGAGGAAATTTGAGCTTACCCCACCTGAGGCGGTGCCCCGCTGGTGGGAGATACCTGGATGGGGAATACCAGCAAGCAGTCGTGTAGGTCGGCGCTGGATTTCGCCTTCAAGCCGAGGAACATCACCACCATCTCTCGTAATAAAAACATGCACTACACTAACGAGACTAATGACCTTACCAGTTGATGCTCCCAGAATCACTAATCAATCTATCTTGATTCTTATTATACACCACATCTCATCACATCAACATACACTTCCAGTCGGACGAATCGTTTGACGGCAGTGTTGAGATTTGGTTTTCGGAACAACCGTAAGATCCATCTCCGCGAAATTAATTTAATACTATAAATAAACCGATACTGAATGGTAGGTCTTGTGCTGATTCGTTCCCTCGCCATAATTTACAACTAGGAAGGTTAACATACGTGCCCCATCGCCCAATCAGCATTGCCAATCACCTCTTTCTTAGAACTTGCTCCTCGAACGCCCGGATTTCACGCTATAATAACTGTCTTCATAGATTCAAAACTTTCTGAAATTATTTTCTGAACCCTCTTCCGTATTTGTATACGAATTTTACTCAAACTGTATGAACTTGTGATGCATAAATGTTTTGTTTGAAAGGTCTTTTTCGGTGAAAAATATGTAATCAGTAAATATGCGTCAATAAAATTACATTTGGTAGTCGAAATATTCTTTTTGAAACTTTTGTTCGATTTTACACGTTTGAAAAAAATGCCTTTCCTTGAGCTATTACTTCTCCATATCTGTCCCTAATTATAGGTTTTGAATGTTATTGTAAAACATTATAATTAAAATCGATAGAAGAGAGTTAAGGATAATTTCTAACTTTATATTCTTGTAGGTTTAAATAGAAATTTTAGTATAATTGAAGGTGTTCCGGCATAAAGTTCTTAAGGGAGATCGAGATTCTGACTTATTTCTCTACAAGAATTAAAGAGTTCTATTCGATTCATTGCTAAAAGCTGCTCGAGCTCAAGAAGTCGTGATAGAACATTATCAAAGCCTTGAAGTTGTGCACACATCTGGTACCTCTCCCCGGAAAAAGGACATTTCACTCACCTCAAGTACTCTGGAACCCTTGTGATTCAGACGTGAGATATTCTGATAAATGTCTTTGTTCTGATTTTCACTAGGAAATGATTGTAAATACGTCTTCTTTGGTTAAAATTATTTTGGTTCACCCACCATGAGACCCAACTTCTGTGTCCGGGGTTTCTCAAACTTGGAACTTCATCCCGGATCTCAGACTGGTAGGATATTTTCTATTTCAATCGAGGAGGGGCGTACAGGTGTGATCAGCCCATT